CTCTTTGGTACTGGAGATGGAACCCAGGGCCGCCCCAACACTGAGTCACATCCCCAGCCCTTTGTATTATTTTATTTAGAGGCAGGGTCTTGTTAATTGCCTAGGGCCTCGACAAGTTGCTGAGGCTGGCCTTGAACTTGCCATCCTCCTGCCTCAGCCTCCCAAGTCGCTGGGATGGCAGCCCGCTGTTCCTAAACTGGAAGAAATTCTCTTGCTCACTCTTTTTCCTTTTGTGGGGCTGCAGCCAAGGGCTTCCCGCACACGCAGCACACACTCTACCAGAAGAGACATCCAGCCCTGAAAAGAGATTCCCACACTGACATCACGATGATTCTGAACATTGTAAAGAGGATCACAAAAAACCAGATTCTATGTGTCTTCTAAAATATTTCTGTTCTCATGTTGCACGTTCCTGTGGGGGAATATTCTGCATTCTGGTGGGCACTGGCCAACAGGCTTAGGATTCTCCCTGGGCAGCCTGTTGATCTTCCCAGGCTCCTAGGAATTGTTTTCAGAACTTAAATTTCCCAATGCCAGGCAGGGCCAGGAGCAACTGGATGGGGCTTGAAAATCCTGCCCCTCGAAGCAATGTGACTGTGGATGAGTGGCTTCAATCCCCTGAACCTTGACTTTACCCTTTTTAGAACGGGGCTAAGAATAGACCAACTCCAGGGGTGCTAAAAAGATTAAAAACACAAACAGATTCAGCTGGAAACAGTGGCGCATCCCCATAATCCCAACATCTCAGGAGGCTGAAGCAGGAGGATCACAAGTTGGAGGCCAGCCTTAGCAACTTAGCAAGACCCTGTCTCTAAATATAAAATATAAAAAAGGGCTGGGGATGTGGCTCAGTGGTTAAGCACCCCTAGGTTCAATCCCCAGAATGAAAGAAAAAAAAAAGAAATCACATGATGTGCTTAATATATTAAGCACCCTGTACATACACCCATTCCAGAACTATTCCCATTTCGTCTCCTTTTTACAAAATTTATTTTCATTTATTTATTGATAGTTGTAGATGGAGAGATGGCCTTTATTTTATTTGTTTATTTTTATGTGGTGCTGAGGATTGAACCCAGTGCCTCATGCATGCTAGGCAAGTGCTGTACCACTGAGCTAGACCTCAGCCCTATTTTTATTTTTTAAGTCATTATGTTAACTGTACAAATTTATGGGACACAATGTAATAATGTGATGTATACTACAGTGTGTGGTGCTCAAACCAAAATCAGCACAGCTCACCTCTCCATGTCCTTAAACATTTAAAAAAAAATTTTTTTGATGAACCCATAGTTATTGTACCTATTTATGGGATCTTGCAGTTTCTTTAAAAGCTTTTCCAGAGAGCTAGCCCACTGGTTCATGTCGTTAATGCCAGAGGCTCAGGAGGCTGAGGCAGGAGGATTGCCAGCCTCAAAAAAGCGAGGAGCTAAGCAACTCAGTGAGACCCTGTCTCTATATAAAATACAGAATAGGGCTGGGGCTGGGGCTCCGTGGTCGAGTGCCCCATAGTTCAATCCCCAGTACCAAAAATAAATAAAAGCTTTTTAGAGGTCTCAAGGGAGAGAAGCTCAGGTTTTGTCTTTTCAAGAAGATCATGATCCAAGTTATAAATTTCACTTGCCAGAAAATTCAAGAAAAACCCCACCTGACATTTACACTGGATTTCGGAAACACACTGGATTCATCAGCCCCTCAGCGAATGCGGCCGTGGCTTTGACCTCTTCATCTATTCAAACTTCCAGCCCCTCAACCAAATGGCTCTGGCGGTCATTCACCCGCTCACCTCTGGATCTGGTCACCCCTGCCCACCCCAGGCCTGACTCCGGACCCCTCGCTGGGCCTGCTGCTGGGGAAAGGCAGAATTCAGGCAGGCTCTGTGCCATGCTGGGCCAGTCCTTCTCCTTCTCTGCCCTTCTCCTTCTCATTGACAAAACAGTCACGTTGTGCCCTCTACTGGACCCTGGGGATTTTTCTCACTTTCCTAGGCGCTATCTTTGTACCCCAACAATCATCACAAAGTTTCCACAGGATGGGGCTCTATGTGCCATGTCACCCTGATCCCCTTTATGCCAGAGGTGAACCTCCACAGGTAGGGCAGTTTTGCATAGATTTGTGCTACTAAAGAGAGGGAGATTGCCCTCCTGAGGTTCTTTACTGGCTTCTATGTTAGTTTTTTTGTTACTATAAGAAAATACCCAAAGTAGGCTACTTTATAAAGAAAAAGGGGTTTATTTTGACTTTCAGCTCTGGAGGTGCAAGGTCTAAGGATCCTCACCTGGTGATGACCTTCTTGGTGGCAGAGTCTGAGGCAGCACAAGACATCACAGGGAGGAAGAGGGACCATGTTTTATAGCCTCTCTCCTACTTTTTTTTTTTTTTTTAGTGCTGGGAATCAACCCAGGGCTTTGCACTTGCTGGGCAAGTGCTGAGCTACTCCCAGCCTCCCCTCTTCCCCTTGCTGGCCCCCTTTTAAGAATTCTGATGCTGGGGACCGAACCCAGGGCACTTTACCACTGAGCCACGCCCCCACCCCCAGTTCATTTTTCAAAAATTTTTTATTTGGAGACAGGGTCTCGCTAAGTTGCTGAGGCTGGTCTTGAACTTGCAATCCTCCTGCCTCAGCCTTCCTGTGCCACCACACCCAGTTCAGCTCTCCTTTTTAAAGTCCTAGGATTCCATCAGGCGGCTCCACCCTGATGACGGTATCTAACCCCAACAAGGGAACACCTTGTCTGTTGGCCCTTGTTCTACATGTCATCTGCCCACTTCAGGGTTCCTTGTCAGTCCGTCCCTGTTAGGATGGAAATGCCATGCGGACTGGGCCTTTTTCTTTTTAACGGAGGTGAAATTCAGATCATTGCAATTAGCCATTTTAAAACAATCAATTCAGTGGCAACAAGGACATTCACAACATCGTGCAACCTGTACCTAGTTCCCTTGTCACCACCCCAAAGAAGACCCCCATACCTATTAAGTCAACCCATCTTTATCCCCCCCCCCACCCTGAAAACACTAATCTACTGTTTCTCCTCCCAAGCAGCTGGGAATACAGGTGCATGTCACAATAACAAGTTAGCGTGTTTTCAAGGTTTATTCACCTTGTATCGTGCATCAATACTTCATTCCTTTTTACAGTTAACTAATACTCCCTTGTATGGATAGACCATTTTTTTTTTTTAAACCTGTTCATGATTTGATGGACATTTGGGTTGATTCTACCTCTTGGTGATTGTGGATAGCATAGGTGTTTGTGTTTGTGTGCTTCTTTCCCCCGGTGGCTAGGGCATGGAGTGGTGAGGACCTGGAGAACAAGGGCGTGCCAGGTATAACTCATCTCTGTCCTCCTCCTTACATGGTAGCCACTAGTAAAAGGCTTCAAGATCTGAGACCACAAGAGTGAAGGATGCAGGCACCAAGCCACAGCAGAAATCAATTTGGAAGGAGGAGGGAGGAGGGAGGATCGGCCCCAACAGGAGACAGGTTTTCCATTTTCTACCCTTGGTACTTGAAAAAGTGAATCATGACCCTGCAGAAAGACAGACAGATTCATATGCCCGGTTCTGAGAAAGGAGGTTATTTATCATCAGACAGCAAACATGGAGAGGCAAGGAGAGGTTGGGAGACTCACGGTCAATCAGAACTCACTGGGGCGAGCTCCAGGGAGGAGGTCATTGAAATCCAATTGCTTCCCCCACAAAGGACTTCATTAAACTCCGGAAATTACCAGGAGCCTGTTGCAAAAAAAAAAAAAAAAAAGAAAGAAAAGAAAAGAAAAGAAAGAAAGAAAAAGAAAAGAGATAGTGAAGGGAGTCATTTCTCTTTAATTGTTGATGCAATTTAGAAGAAATTAAATTGCAATTAAGTTCGTTTACTCACGAGGAGACGGGGTGTGAACACCCTGTGGGGAGACCCCATCAGCCTTTTGGAAAGAACAGGGCTTTTGGTTGGGGATGGTTCGCTGGGGACCGCCCAGTTCCGTGGCGAGTTTGGCGGCTTCGGCGCGCCCCCTGGTGGCCACAGGTGGGAGGTTCGGCCACCGTCTCGGTTCCCCTAGAGGGGTGAGCGCAGCGGCTCCAGAGGGGATCCGCAAATTAATTCACTTTCAAACGGGAAGTGAGGGCTCAGCGTGGGCCCCCGGGGGATGCAAGAGATGCCATGTAGGTGAACCGATTTTTAAAATTTTAATTATGAACTTAATTATAACTATGGTTACAATATCAAATCATTTTGAGATCATAAACTTAAAAAGTCATTTTCTCAGACCAGTTTTTCCATGACCTTACTCCTCGACCCCTAAAAAGCCCATAGAAATATAGATGGGACCCTATATTTCACATACTGTTTATCCCTTACCTTTCTCCTCAACCTCTCTCTCTCTCTGTGTGTGTGTCTCTCTCTTTCGGTGTTGGGGATGTGCTGAACTGCACCCCAAATCCAGCTTCTCTCTTCACAGGGTGTGTTGGGGAACTTCCCATCTAAGCACATGGAGATCTAGTTCATAGTTCCCATTTTCCAATGGCTGTGTCCACCCTGCATTTCATGGATGTACCATAAGTTTATTAATCAGTCCCCTAATGATGGACATGGAGGTTGCTTCTTATTTGTTTATTGTGGTACCGGGGCGCTCAGGGGTGCTTTACCACGGAGTTACGTCCCCAGCCACTTTAAAATTTATTTTATTTTGGAGACAGGGTCTAGCTAAGTTTCCTTGCCAAGGCTGGCCTTGAACTTGGCCTCTTCCTGCCTCCCCACCATCACCCCCCACCCCCACCCCCGTCCCCAGCCGCTGGATTAGAGGCCTGTGACACAGCACCCGGTGCTTCCTTTTTTATACAAAGTTCAACAGTGCAGAAGTGAACACCCTTATCGTCGTTATTTCTGCATGCCTGTGTGCAAGTTCCAGGCGGCGAGGTGGGTACGTTTACTGCTGAAATGATGAAACGGAAGGGACTGTGGAGGACAGTGAGAGCCTGTCCCCGCCCGCCCCCTTTATTCATGAGCATTCACCGAGCGCCCCCTAGTGGTTGGGATGGGAGACGCGGATACCGAGACCCGTTAGCCAGGGCCCCCACCCTAGGGCGTCCAGGCATCCTGGGGGCAGGCAGGGAAACCCTTTAGGAATCAACTGGGTGTAAAAAAAAATAGTCTACGTAAGTGGGAGAACAGAGTGGCTTGTAGGGACGCTGGGAAATATATGATGGGGGCCTGGCGCAGTGGCACACGCCTGTAAACCCTGGATTTGGGAGGCTGAGGCAGGGGGATTGCAAGTTCAAGGCCAGCCTCCGCAACATAGTGAAACACTGTCTAAAAATAAAAAAAGGACTGGGGATGTGGCTCAGTGATTAAGTGCCCCTGGGTTCAATCCCTGGTGCAAACAAAACAAAACCAAACCCGGGGGTGGGGGCAGGGAGAGAGGAGATGGAGACGTGGAGCTTGGGAGAAATCAGAAATGCCTGTCAGAGGAGGCAGCGAGACTTAGGTGTCAGAAGAACTTCCCAGGTAAGAGGGTAACACCCTTTGCACATGCCCAGAGCTGGGACTCACCTGAAGTCCCTACCTCCGTGTGTTGAAGTGATGGGAAGCTGAATTGGATCACCGGTGGGGCCAGGTAACCAGGGACCTTGTCAATCATTCCTGGGAACTTGGGTCTCATCTCACACTGCGAGGTTTTCAAGTAGGATCCAGGAACCACTTATTTTAGAATCCTTTCTGCAAGGACCCTTCCTGGTCTACTGGAGCATACCTTCTGGAGTCTGGTCCTTGGACTCTGCATTTTGAAAACTCAAGCTCCCTGGGCCATGTGTATTCCCTGAGACCTGATGATTCTGCGGCTAGCAAGTGTGCATGCATCATTTTTCAAACAAATGATTTGTTACCAGGAGCCAAAGTTTATTTTCATCATTAGCAAGGAAATCATCCAGAAGCAAAAATGTCTGGTTCTAAGAGCGGTTGAGAGACAGAATTGATATATCAGCCAGGAAGAGAATGCAAAAACAAGATTACTACCCAGGCACAGTGGCCTGTGTCTGGAGTCCCAGCGACTTGGGAGCCTGAGGTGGGAAGATCCCTTGAGCCCAGCCTGGGCAAAACAATGAGACTCCATTGAGAGAGAGAGAGAGAGAGAGAGAGAGAGAGAGAGAGAGAGAGAGAGAGAGAGAGAGAACACAGATAAATTCAATTTAAGTTCCTACAAGATGCAAACCAAAAAATGAAATTTGGGGTTAACTTTGTCATGGGGCTATAAAATTATAGTTTGTCACACTCTTACAGGATGTCAAGAGGCTGCCTTTGATTAGCTGTAAATTATGAATCGGAACTTGTGACCCCAAAGCTGAATTCTCCTAGGAAGTAGATAAGGGTCAAACCGACATTTAGTAAATGCGTCCCCCCGGGGATGGGGTAACCTTTCCCAGGGCCAGAGAGCAACTTACGTGTCAGTCGGACGTCTCCGTGAAGATTGCTCAGCTCTGCTCCTGGCATGGATCATCCACAGACACTATGCACAGCAGGCACGGGGCTCACAAAACCAGGCAGCGGGATAAATGTGCCTGCAGCCGTATGCTGAGCTCCTGGGATTGAATTCCCAGGAGCCTGAGTCACCTCTAACCCACGCCTCTCCACACCCACGGACAGTCCTGTGCAAGAGCAGCCGAGTCCAGTCCTTCGGCATGCTACCCTGGAGAGGCCTCTGTTCTTGTGGGAATATGCCATTCCGTGGGAGCGCGGGGCGTTTGTATTCTCTTTGCGATACGTGATCATAAAATACCCAGGGATAATTTGGGACCGATTTGGGTTGCGTTTCCCTATCAGAATGGCAGGAGTGGCAGGGTCACCGGCTCAGCTGGGTTTGATGAGACTGGCACCAACTGGGAACCTGAATTTGGCACCATGACTGGTGATTTGGGGGCCCTGGATTCGTAGTCCCAGAGCCAGGGGACCAGGGAAACACAGACAGGGACGTGGGCAAAGGCCTAACCCTGCAGGAGACAAGTCAGACGTTGGCGTGGGGACGGGCGGAGTCAGGCTCCCTGGGGGCTCTTGGCTGGAGGCCTCAGTTTCTTGCCACACAGACGTATTTCCATAGGGTCACTTCCGTGTCCTCATAACTCAGTGGCTGGCTTTTCCCCGAGTGATTCGAGGGACAGCAAGGAGAAGCCACGAGGTCTCTCATGACCTAGGTGTGGAGTCACGTGTGGCCATGTCTCCAACACCCCATCGGCCAATGGTCCCCCGTTCTACACAGGAAGGGACTGCAGAGGACAGGAAGAGCAGAGGGGGACCCCACGGTTACATTTCAGGGGAGCCGCGGAGTGTGGCAGGAAGGCAGCCCATCTGCGGGCAGACGTGGCAGGAACTAAGGATGGAATCCTAGCTGAGGTTGTGAGGGCCCCCGGGCGCCTGGGACAGGAGTTTTCACTGGGAAGAAACAAATGGTACCAGTACAGGAGAGTGGCAGGATCCGCTGGCTTTCGGTTAATCTCCTTGCTGGTAATCCCTCCAGAAAGAAAGGAGAGGCACTGGAGGCAGGAGGCCCATTTGGGGACTGTGGTAATAATCCCACGGAGAAAGAGTAAGATGGTTAGGAGAGTGGTGGGCTGCTGTAACAAAGAGACCTCCAGAGAAGACGCTGATTTCCTTCTCTCCCAGCAGTCCCTGTTGGTGGTGCAGGGCTGAAATGTTGTCCTGAGAGAACTGGGGGGCTCAGGCTCCTTCTGTCTTCTCATTTTATCCATTCACACATGAGTTCCATCTTGTGATCCAAGATGGCGGCTCTGGCATTCATTCCAGCCAGGAAAAAGAGGACCGTGCTAGGAAAGGGCACCCTCCTGGTACTACTCAGAAACCACACACACACACCACTTCTGCTCACATTTCCTGGAGTGAAGCCCAATTCGTACGACCAGGCGAACCCCCACAAGGGGCTAGACGGTGGAGAGCCATGTGCCCAACCAAAATTCAGGAAGGAGGAAGGTGACATTGGTTCTTAGGAACTGGTAGCCTTCTCGGATCGGCAGTGGCAATGGAGACTGAGATGAGACACCAGAATCTAGGGTTCACTCGGGTGGAGGGAGACATCAAGGATTTGGAGACTGAGGAAGAGACACAAGCATTTCAGGGGACAGCGTGGCTCTTAACCTATTGGGGTCGCAGAAGACACTGGTGCCCCAGGAGCACAAGAGGGTGGGACATATCATCCCCCCAGTTACTGATGAGTGCCTCTCCTTGTCCAGCCACGGGGAACTCCCCATAATACTTCTCGCTGGCCCACTCATTTGAGCTGCTCTCCACCCCCAAAGGAATCACCAGCTGCTGGGGACTCAGGAAGTAAAAACTGATTTTGGTGTCAGCATGAGCAGAACCCGAATCTCCGAGCAAATCAGCTGCTTCAGCCTCCACACAAGTACAAGGGGCTTCGGGGTCAAAGAGAAAATCTTATAGTCTTATCAGTCCCCAAGTTATCTCTGGATGCACAGCGCAACTCTGCTATTCTCTCCTGCCCCCCGAAATTCTGCAAATTCTGTGTTTGCTTCTTCCTCCACCTGGGACATTTTTCCTCCAGGTCGCTGCTCAAATGTTACCTTATCAGTGACAAGTGGTGACATCCTTATGTAAACCAAAAGCCCACTCCACCCTGCCCGGGGTTGCCAACCTCTCTACCACTTATCACCAGCTGAGAGATGATATATTTACTGGTCAAATCGTTCATTACAGCCCCTCAGTCTCTCAATAGATCCTAAGCCCCACGAGAGCCGTGGCTTGTGTATTTTGGTCCCTGCTATATCCCCACAGCCCAGAGCCCTGGGACGCCATGACATCTACTTGGAGATGGCTGTCAGCCAGGGCTGGGAGCTTCTGGGAAAAAGGACCCTTCGAAGAAGCTGCTGGTGACAATTTGTCCAGAATCAACTTTCTGGAAGGCAGTTTGACTTGATTCATTTTTCTATACGTTTATCCTAAGCGTAGAATCAGCAGGGCTGACA